GGACGGTCACACCCCGGGGCTGGGGACAGTTGTGCCCCCACGGGCTCAGCACTCAGGATGGTCACCCCAGGGTTGGGGACACTCGTGCCCCCGCGGGCTCTGCGCTCGCGATGGTCACCCCGAGGTTGGGGACACTCGTGTCCCCGCGGGCTCCGCGCTCGGGCTCGTACTCGCACAGGATGACGCCGTCCTTGAGCCCGTCCATGAAGTTGTCCCCGATCCGGCGGCCCGTGGTCCCCTCGATCCAGGCACGGAGCTCCCGCTCCCGCTGCGGGTCGTACTTCTGGGCCAGCTGAGGGGACACGGGGACACGGGGACACCGTCAGGGGCGGGGACACCGTCAGGGGAATGTGGGGACACGGGGACACCGCCAGGGAAATGTGGGGGATGGCACCGAGGAGACGAGGGGACACGGGGGACACTGCCAGGAGGACAGGGCGCAGGTGGGGGACACTGTTGGGGACAGGGGGACACTGCTGGGGACAGGGGGACACTGTTGGGGACAGGGGGACACTGCTGGGGACAGGGGGACACTGTTGGGGACATGGGGACACTGCTGGGGACAGGGGGGACACTGCTGGGGACACTGCTGGGGACATGGGGACACTGCTGGGGACATGTCAGGAGAGACATGGGGGACACAGGGACACTATCAGGGGTACAGGAAGCAGGTGGGAGACACTGCTGGGGACACCGGGATACTGTTGGGGACATGGGGGACACTGCTGGGGACATGTCAGAGGGAGAGGGGGGACACGGGGACACCATCAGGAGGACACGGGACACTGTCAGCGGGACATGTCCCCCCCATAACGGCGACACGCAGAACGTGGGGGACACTTGGGGACACCACAAAGGGGACTTTGGGGACACCCGCAGGGAAAAAGCGGCAGCTGCGCTGGGGACGGAGATTCCCCGGTGGCCGCGGYGCCCCCGTTTCCCCCGTTCCCGCGGCGCCGGGAGGGGCGGGGGGAGCCGGGAAGGCCGGGGGTGCCCGGACCCCCCCCCGCTCCGCCCCGACCCCCCCGGGAGCCGCGGGCGACCGGGCCGGCCGAACCTTTGCCCATATATAGCCCCGGGCCGGGGCCGCCGCCGCCCGCCCGCCGCGCTCCGCCGCCTTATAAGGGCTCACGGCGGGGCCGGGGGGCGCCGGGGCCCCCCCGGGCCGCTGAACCCCCCCCGGTTAACCCTTAACGGGCCGCTCCYTTAACGGGACCCCCCCGCCGTGCCCGTCCCCCCGCGGTGTCCGGCAGCTCCCCCTCGAACCGCCCCCGTTAACCCTTCACGGGGCGGGAGCGGCGGGACGGCCCTCGGTAGATCCCGGGGGGGGTTCCCGGTGTCCGCCCCCTCCGTGCCGGTATCGCCCCCTCCCCTCCTCACTCAGCCCCACCGGGTGTCTCAGCGGGGGGACCCCGGTGTCGCCCCCCGCCCCCTCGGTGCTCGCTGCGGGCTCGGGGATCGGCGGAGCCCCCCCGGGCCACCGGAACCCTTCCCCCCGTTAACCCTTAACGGGCCGGGCACCGCCGGGAACCCCCGGGACTCACGGGGTGACCTCGGGGTCGCCATCCCCGGACCCCCACCCCGACGGGGACCCGGTGCCCGTCACCTCCCGCCCGCCGGAGGAACCGAGGGGCTGCGGAGCCGCTCAACTCCCGTTCCCGGTTAACGGGCACCCGGTGGGACCCCGCGGGGAGACCCCGGTGCCGCCCCCCCCCCGTCCCGGTGCCCGTCCCGTCCCTCCCGGGGCAGCACCAGGGACAGCGCCGGGTCCCGCCCCCGCTCCCGCCCGGTGCTGCCGCGACCCCCGCCCGCCCCCGGCGCTGCCGCCCCTCCCGGGGGGGTCGCACCTGCCCGGAGCCGCCCGGAGCCCCCCGGTTCGGTTCCGTTGGGTCCGGTGTCGCTCACCTTGTTCTTCACCTCGGCCGACAGTCCGTAGGCCGGGCCGCGGTTGAAGTGCGCGTTGGACATTTCGGGGGTCCCGGGGGGTCTCGCTGGTTCCGCTGCGGTCGGGTCGCGCCGGTTCGGGGTTGTCCCGGGTGGGTTCGGGGTTGTCCCGGGTGGGTTCGGGGCTGTCCCGGGTGGGTTCGGGGCTGTCCCGGGTCGGGTCGGTGCCCTCGGGTCGGGTCGGTGCCCTCGGTCGGTTCCTCCCGGTCCCGTCCCGGCGCCGCCGCCACTTTTAAAAGTGGGCGGTGGGCGCGAAGCCCCCCCGGACCGGAGCGGCCGCAGCCAATCCGGGGCTTCC